TAGGAGTGACCACAGCGCTGTCATCTGCGATGTCTCTGTCTCACGGCCAGCTGCCAGGTTTGATTAATACTTTTTAATAAATACATGAATAAAGCACAGTCATACTCAGTTTTGCCCCCGCTGTATTTTTAAATACGCAGTAGAGGTATTTAAAGGTAGTAGAGGACTTGTACCTGTATATAAAAAACGCGCCCTATAGTCCGGTGCGCCTTATGTGTGTGTTAAATACAGAAATGGGACACATAACTGAGAGTGCGCCTTTTAGTCCGGTGCGCCTTATGGTCGTGAAAATACGGTATAAAGTGGGGAGGGGTGATTATTTAAGATACCTGAGGAAAATTCTTCATTCAATCTTGGTTTCATTCTTTAGGAGCTGACCACCTCTCAGAGGAGCGGCGGAAACGTGTTGAAGATGATGTATGAAAAGCCGGAGAGGTGGGCATACACCTTCCAGAGCTACGCCTGCATCAGCAGGGTGCGTGCCCAGGCCAGATCAGCCAACGGCAAGCTCCGAGAGGCTGAGAACCCTGTGTTGTTCTTTGAGCGATCCATCTACAGTGACAGGTATCGGGGTGTAAACAATGAGTAGTTTGATTCTGATCAATAAAACTTGTGACTTTTTTTCATCCAAGTTTTAAAGATGTGTGGCTAAATTGTGTCTGCTTTATTTCTGCAAGGTTTCACCAGCTTTTCTTAGTATGTGCTACATGACGTGACACATACTAAGTAAGAAGAATGTTTCCTGACAGGCATTCCTGCCTCATGTGTTCTTTATGTTTCAGGTACATATTTGCAGGCAACCTATATGAGAGCGAATGCATGAATGAGACGGAATGGTCCATCTATCAGGACTTGCATGGCTGGCTGCACAACCAGTTTGGCAAGCACATCGAGCTCGATGGCATCATTTACCTCAGAGCTTCTCCAGAGGTACTCTTCCACCCACTGATCGCTCTTTTACAAGTCAGAAGGAATGCTTGTTGAATGTTTAAACTGGTTTAAACAAATGAGATCATTTGCTCCTGTATCCTGCACATGTTTAGAGATGCTTGGAGCGACTGCACACTAGAGGAAGAGAGGAGGAACAGGAAATCCCCCTGGAATACCTGGAGAAGCTCCACTTCAAGCATGAGAGCTGGTTGCAGAATAAGACTATGAGGTGGGTTGCTTGGTGTAAAGCACCTGTGAAAATCATCGGTGCATCCTGATTGTTTAATTACTATGAATGGGCTTGCATTTATTTATTTTTTTTTACTCTAATCTTACATTTTGGGAATGAACAGTATCTTATTTACTGTCACCGCCCAACTGCCTCACATTTGAGGGTACCAGAGTCCCACTAGCTGCTAGGGGCCATTATATTTGACCAGCAGGGAGTCGAGCCTTGAAAATCCTTTAGGGCACTCAGAGCATGCAAATGGATTAAACATAATGACCCCCTCATGGCATCTCTATAGTATCAGAGTCAGCCTTTTAGATGTAGGGAGGTTATTTTCTACTTATTGACTTTAAACACTACAGATAAGAGCAGTAATATCTTAAAGGTACACTGGTGAATGATAGTAGAATTGTTAGCTAGTTTGAAGAACCCAATAGATGGAGAAGTAACTGGTTGGCTTATCCATGTGAAGGTTTTGCTGCTACAGATGCATGTTTTGTCTTTTTTTTTTTTTTTATAAGCTTGATTTTCTTTTATTTACCTGCAAAGAGGAAAACCCACTGCTGCCTGTTTTAAATTGGTTAATATTTTCTAATCTGTTTTGTATTTAAATCACGTTTTCTTTGGTTTTCCACATTACACCCTGTTTTCTGATTGACATACATGTTTTTTTATGTAAGTTTAAATTTGGTTTATCAAATCTTATCATAAACTGGGCCCTGATGCCTAGAAAGCACTTTAACTGCTATTTGTATGTCAGCAGGATTAAATGAACATAGTTAACCACTAGTGATTTAAAGAATCAACATTTTTAAGTGTTTGTCTTAAATGTATCTATATTTTTTTTTAGTTTCATTTTTGATTTTGTGTAGAAGACATTATTTTGGCTTAAGGTTTTATAAAGTGTTATACTTGTAAATTTGAGCTGGGAAAAGCAGGTAATCCTGATATAAAAATGTTCCTGGAGCCGTGGGTGTGACTAACTAGATGACCTTGATGGTCTGTCCTTGCAGCATGGAGTTTGAGTACCTCAATGATGTGCCTGTACTGACCTTGGATGTAAACGATGATTTTAAGCAGAACGATTCCAAGAGTGGCGACATGATTGAGAAGGTAAGTCGGTGTATTTTTACAGTACAGGAAGTAAGAACGCAAAATATTGTGATACCAAAGGAACAGAACAATTTTTACACGCTGATTAAGAATTTGTCACGTTGTTCTTATATTACTGTCAGGATCAGTCAAAACAGGAAGTGGAAGACTAGACCTGGTAGTAACTGGATGTCAGCATTGCTCACATTCTGCTGCCGTTTGCTCTTTGGAGAATGTCATGATGGTTCCTACAATAGCGGTTCCTTTTTTTTTCTTTTTCGTATCACCTTAAGAAATCAGCAGGCATTTCAAAAAGGACAATAAGCAAGACTGAATAACATTCTTAAAAAAAAAAAAGATTCTTAATAAAAACTAAATTAGCACATGACTAGAAAAAAAACTGTTAGGTTTAGTGTATCTTATATATATATATATATAAGATACACTAAATAAGTATGTATATGTATGTGTATATATATATATATATATATATATATATATATATATATATACACACACACACACACACACACACATTTTTTAAGTACTACCTATAATCTTGTCACTAATTGGCTCTTAGACCTGCATTTTACAAATAATAATTCCCTCTTATACCACAAACATGTAAGAAGGCTTCTCAAAACAAAATTATGCAACACTGCAGTGGCTTTGAGTTCAATATTTGGATGGAAAGTCATAACAGGGTTTCGCATAACTCAGAATATGCTTGTTGAGCAGTTTTCTGTTGATTGTAAACATGGAAACGTTGAGGTTTCTCCTGAAATTAAAAGCTGTTTGTTGAGCTAAAACAAGACTGTGACGCTTTCAATCAAGAAGATCAGAAGTGAATGTTGATGTCATCTGATTACTTTTTTTTTTTTTTTTGGTTCTTTTTCAGGTGAAGGAGTTCTTGAGCACGTTGTGATGGAATAATGTTAATTCTGCCAAGAGGAAAGCAATTCGTGGAAGATTAAGAACAATGAAATACCCCAACATGATCACTTCTTTTTTTTATTTTTATCAGTTTTCTAATGATCTGACAATTTGCACTGGTTTTACTGTTGCTTTGCTGTTTTTACTTTATTTATGAAATTATATGCATGGTTGTCAACCTTTTTAATAAAAGCTATACCCTACCAAAGTGTGTGTGTGTTTCCACTTTCTGTTCACCCACATGTTGGTTCTGGTGTTTGAAATTTTTACAGCACCTTAACAGATTATATGTGGGGTTTAGGGTAGATAAGTTTATCCACTCAAGCACATTTATAACATCTCAATAAACCAGGTATTTATCAGACTTTTAATCACACGATAAGTTTAATAGGCTTTGGCTTCACCAATCTGAAAAAGCTGTGGTTTTCCATATATTTGCACCATTTTCTAGCACACCTTTTCCTTCCATCTATTTTTACATGTATATCCCTCTATGCAGGGCCCTGAACAGCCTCTTCAAGCTTGGTTTCTTATATTAGAAACGTGAACCAAGAAATATGTCTGAAGTTTTTAATTTGAGTTAAATATTAACAGTTTTCTAGGCAAAACAGATTTTATTCCTATTCCCCCTTGTATTGTTTTGCAACAGGGTCATTAAATATAACAAGTCATTAAATTATTATTTTTGAAATCAAGGCTTTAATTGGCATTCAAATTCATTAAACGTGATTATCGTGGTATTTAAAATGCACTAAAAAAAGTTTATAAAAACAATTTCCTCAGATATAATGTCCCGAATGTTTGCGCCGAACTGCTTTCGGTTGATCGTAAAGCCATATGTTCGGAAAAGAAGCTCGAAGCGGAGAAAAAGCTAGAGAATGGGAAAATACTAATTTCAACAAAAGTGGATGGAAAATGAGGAATTCAGGACATGGCTGCAGCCTGTCAACAGTAAAGATGATTTTACCGTGTTTATATATATATTAGTCATGAGTACTTGTTGATGGCATTAAAATTATTTCTAGGAGCATTAAAAAAAGCTTTAAATTAGAGTTACTTATTCCGGAATAAAGCCTGTTCAAGTATCACTTAAAAATGCAATCAGTTGACTGTTCATGCTCCACAAAAAGCACAAAGAAGTTTTAGCCCCCCCACCCATTTGCCCAAAAAAAACTTTTTTTATCTTTCTAAACATTCAGTAAGATTAAGGTCTATAAAACTTATATATGTTTCATGCATTTCAGAATAAAATAATTGTAATTTAGAAATGAATGATTATAAAGCCTAACCTTATTTTGAGGCTGGTCTCCCCTCAGTCTGTGCAGCCCTGGGCAGACAGCCATGTAGTCCATAATAAAACTTTTGACTTAAAATTGATTCCAATTTCCTGAGGTGCACCTATAGTTCTAACAGAAGGTGTCGCCAGTCTTAATTCAAACCCTTTTAGCTGATCATTCGACCTTTATTTGGAGCAAACAAGATAATAAAGCATTTACCTGATTCCTTTTTATTTATTTTTTACTTTTATTTATTTTTGTTTTTACAGACATTAGAATAATAGCCAAAATAAAGTCTGGTTTAGAATAGGATGTAATATAAATCTCGGCCCCCTCCATGATATCTTATATCCTTGTTTGTCCAGATTTATGTGCAAAGAATTGAAACAAAGCGCTTCCAAATGCCGGGAAATTAAATTGATTAAACAATGGAGAAGCAATTTGTCAAGTAGAGGCATCTGGAGCGCCACCCACGAGTGACCTCCGCCCCCATCCGTGGCGTCACGCAGGAGGAGGGAAGGGACGTTAAATATGGAAAACAGACACGCAGTCCACGGAGACTCCACGCGCCCACGACGCTCCGCATTTCCTCAGCGTGTCGCTCCGGGACGAGCTCAGCCAGATAATGAGGATTGTGCGTCCTGCTGCGCACAGTTTGGTTCATCGAGTCAAAGAGATCATCCCCGCCAGATAGCCGCACTTCTTCCCTCTTTGTTTGCTTTCATTAGATATATATTTATATTTTTGTTTCTTAAATAGAAAAGGTAAACAAATAAAGCAACTGGAGGTGACAAAAGTCAACCGAGTACAAAGCTTGATCATCTCCGAGGAGGAAACTTGTCGCCATGAGTTCCGATAAGAGCAAGTAAGTTTACAATCTGTTGCGTTTTTAAGAGGAAGAACTCCGAGTGGAAAGTTTACGCGCACATCTGATCCTCATCCAGGTTATTTAACAAGTAAATATAAGATATTCTGTGATTAATTATAGAGCTTTGACTGTAGTCTGTGTTATACCTGAGTAAAAAAAGCGTGGGTTGTTTAACAAACTAAGAGCGATCGAAAAAAAAAAAAGTATTTTGGAAAAAAGTCCCCTTAGATAAGCCAGTGTTCCTTCACCGCTGTGCCTATGAATGGACTGTAATCTATTTTCCAAGAACCTGTCACTATCAATTAGAAAGACGCAGCGATGAATGCTCTACATCTATGAATCAAGCAGTGCGCGCGCCTCACTGCGCACGCGCCTTCATATTAGATTTCAAATCTTCTATCCAGATTTTTATTTGAGTCATAGAAAAAACAAAACAGATTTGATTGTGTGATTTTAAACATCCATACAATAGGGTATAACAGTCTTATAATAAAAGGCAGTTAATAGTTTAAGACAGGAGACACTAGAAGTAAAGCATCAGTGGCGGACCAAATGTACCAGGGGGCCAGGAGGGGGCCCAGCGTTTTTTCATGGGGGCACAGAAAAGCCTGAAATAAAAAACAGGCTTAGGGATTCAAATATATTATTAATATTATTAAGAGAGTTGCATGAAGTGAAATATCTATTCAATTAGGTTTAATTAAAATTCTGTCTTATTAGGTCAATATACATTCATAATTTAGGAAGTTTACGTAATTTTTGCTTAATTTAAGTAAAATTACTGTTCTCTTTTTTTTATAACATTTTTATTAGTCTTGTTTTTTAGTAAACAAAGAAAAAGAATAGAGAATTGCACATGCTGCCAATCATCTTACATGAGTATGGGATACAGAACAGAAACAACCCCCCCCCCCCAAAAAAAAAAAAATAATAATAATAATAATTATATTTATAACAGGAAGCCGTCGTACAGTATCACATTCACGGTAGATCATGTCTTCAAATTACCGTTTTATATAAAATCTGAATTAGAACTCAAGAAAAACTGATAATTTCAACCATAAAAATTAGAGCTATTTGTTAAAAAAAAAAAAAATTAGAAGATGCAAACTGGGATCCTGTCTCAGTACCAATGAAGCTATAACCTTATTGTTTTTATTTAATTAGCAAAACAGAATTTGTAAAGAAAAAAAATGAAATAGATCCAAAGGAGCTATCAGTAAGCATGTCTGTTCCAGCGCAGATCATCATTAGAATTTCTTTGAATATTATTTCTTCGGTACAGGGGCCATAACAGGCGCCAGGACATGATCTACAGGGGCATTGGCCCCCGTTGGCCTCTGTCTAGAACCACCCATTTAAAGCATTAAAGCCTAACAAACTATTTTTCCTTTAATATGCAGGGATAAGGTCTGATTTTAGCTTAATGAAACATTATTTCCTCTTTAATTTGATCAAGCCCAGTATAGTGGCGGTTAACTGGAAATATTGAAGTGTAATTGTGGGTAGGAGATTTATTTTCTGAGATGAATGTCAGTGCTCTTAAAAGTAATTAATTTGATCAATCTTGAGCGTAAACGGCCGGAAACAATAATGTGTAGGGATAGTAAGGGAGGTCCTGTTATTATGGCCAAGGAAAACACAATAGGTATTTATACAAGAACCCTAGTGTTTGTTTTGATTTTTATTTGTTTGTTTTTGTATTTCAAATAGCAAAAAAAGGTTATCAATGAAAATATTAAGATTGTTATATACTCAATTCAGCATTTGTAACTCTTGTGGGGGAAAAAAAAAAGTTTGGAAGAACTAAAGGCATTTTCCCTTGGTTCTTTGTTTTTTTTGGTGTTTAGTTGTTATTATAGATGGACATATATTTTAGCAGGTTAACTATGTTTCCATGATAATATCATCAGCGTAGGGACAGAGGGATGCACATTTAACCATTATAATAACAATGGTCATACATTTTTGGTCTTTATAGGTTCTTGATTCTAAAATCATGTAAGTTATCACAATAAGATACAGGTTTTTGAAAGGACATTGAAGGAAACAAACTAACTTTATCTGATTTTGTATATTTCCATTAAAAGCAGCACAAAAGGGAAATAAAAATCAGGCTTATTATCAAGAGTGAGTAAATAATGGAATTACAGAATTGCAGAAAATAAAAAAAATTGCGCACAAACCAGGAACCTAGCTCTGTTTTTGTTTTTTCATTGCTTATATCATAATCAAAAGTAAAAAAAACAATCATGCTGTTTAAAAAAAGCTTAAAGGGAGTAAGAGCAGGATAATGGTCTGTACAAGTGTGCATTTGTTCTAGTAAAAAACAGGGAAACGGGTTCTAATGTTGCAAAAAACTTAATTGTTCTAGCAGAGTGTCTAGGTCAGTTGGAATATTTCCAATCAGTTAGCACATTTAAGCCACAGGGCAAGTGCGTCAGCCATCGCTACACTTGGATAAGTGCTATCTAAGAACGCTTGCAGTAAAGAAGGATCCAGAACATGAAGCAGGATACTTCCTAGAAGCAATTCGTTTATCATAAGGACCTTCTGACGTTCCTAGTCATGGCTAGGAGCTATACAGTTGCCCACAATCCTTTGCGTGTGTTTAGGCACAGGAAACCTCATGGAGTTTAACAAAAATACATTATTTCTTCACCTGTACTCTGTGTGATGCATGCAAATTAACATTTCCTTATAAGTTTTGGGCTATATAATGGAGAACTTCAATAGTTTACTAGATTTTATTTTTTTGTATTCCTCTTATAGAAGGCTATAGTCCTAATTTTATTTGAGTTATTTGTGTGCATGTCCCTTGTGCAATGACATCCATAAGGATGAAGGCTTTCTGGATTCAGTACATCAGTCTGGAGTTCTTTTCCTGCCCTGGATCGTGGTCGTATTGTTGACCCTGTGAGAGGTGAAAAATAGAAACAGGAAGTAGCAGCTATAATTTGAGGTATTTGGACCGAGGTACTGAGTACCTTAGATTTGAGATTTTAATTAAATTGAACAGAGAATGACTGGGGAAATAAATTGTCTTTGTGGGGGCTTAATTTTTTTTATCACTTTCCTGAAGATAAGAGTTTGGACAGCCTCAAACCAGGATGCCTGTTGGTAGCATAGATGTTGGTCACATTTTTTGGGTGTAGGCTACTTTTACAGGTCAAGAACAGAGGGAAAGTCTGTCCCAATCGTCCTCTCTGTGAACCTAATTATAGGTTGGACCTATCATGCTTTTTAGATTAGCCAACTTACACAGTGATGGATGTGTAGAAAACAGGATGAAGACAGGATGATGGCAAAGTGGAGATGAGCAGCTGCTCCGGTGGAGAGTTGCGCTTCCTGAATTTCTGCAGCGACTCTGATTGGCTCTCTTCTGAATAGAGTCTAGTCTATTGCTGAAGCAGAATACAGCAAATTTGATTTCCCTGCTCCTTCACCTTTCATGAGGTCAGCAGTAAAGACTTTAGTGTGGGTAGGAAAGGAACTCTGAACAGCTGTGCCAAATCCAGACGGCCTTTAACTGGGGACTTCATGGGGAAATAAAATGCACATCGATGATGCCTGTCAGATTGGAGCAATGAAAAGAAAACTCTACATTACACAAACCAAATCATACAATGGTGTGCAGATTGGCATTTGTCTCACACACACAGTACTCATGAAGCAAAAACTGTTCATTTCCATGATGCGGTCTGTGCGTAAATATCATTTCTTAAAGCCCTTCAGTGCCAGATATGAATCTTCCAAAGTCTCAGTGATAAAGGAAATATTCAGACAGTACTTATCATGGCGACTGCTGGCGCAATTCCGCTTTGGCTAAGGAATCCATACCGATTAATGGTATATGGTGGAATCCCTCTCTCAGGTTTATAGGGTGGTTTATAGGAATTGGAAGAAGTCCTACAGTTGACACTTCTCTAAATAGTTGTTGGGACATTAATGAACCACCCCCTGTCCGTATCCTGATTGGTTCTGCAATCATCTTGAGAGATTTGGGCTTATATTGTGAAACACTTCAGAGTCCGTGTTTTAAGCGTCGTCATGCTAACTGATTTGGCATTGGTACGTGTTTGATTTTAGGGACCATTTTTGGCAGTGATAGGTGATACGCAATACGGTTTTATATGTACCTCAATGAAAATGACCTCTGATAAGACGCCGGATGTGATGTAAGCAGATCTATGTGCACATTGGAGCTTAGGTTGTGAGGGTAGAATTTATGTTGATTTGCAAAAGAAGGGGTCAAACAAATAGAAAAACAGACCACAGTGTTGTTTTATGGCCAACGGACTGTATATACAGTGGATCAACTAGTTTCACTGAAAGGAACAAATCAGCTATTATTATGCCTGTCAAAACCAGAAATCCCCTTGGTCTGTTTTAAATTTTGCCTTAAGCTCCTGGATTGCAGTTGTTGCGTCATACCTCTCATCTATTGCATCTCCTTGGAATATTTGCAGGGTTGTGTTAAGTCCTCTTCAAATCAAATATGGAGTCTAGAGTGACCTCTTTGTATGGGTTTATAGAAACAAAACTTGATTTCTAACTCTCCTTTGTCTCCAATTGTTTGTGACGAATGGTTTTCAACAAGGAAATGTTTTTCTCTTCCTTTTTCTGTAATTCCTCGCTTGTCTTGCTTTCTCTAGGCGTGAACTTTAGTATAAAGGGCTTTAAGAAGTTCTTCGAAATTGCCTAACCTCTCCTATCATATTAAATCTTCTTTGCTGGAAATTGCAAAAGTCAAGACTACCTGTTTAGCAGGTAGTGATCTATTGTGTGAAGGGAACAATGCAGACAATTGTTTTCATTAAATGTTTTGAGACAAAACTTTATCTCAGCCATTTCCCCTTTCAAAGGAAATATACATTAGAAACAAAAGTAAAACTGATCTAATTACTTTTAAAATGTTTAAAAAATATGGTGATTCTTTTTTCTTTATAAACCAGCATGAGAAATAAATTGACTGCTTAAAATCCTTAAAAATAGTA